TTTTTTTTTTTTTTTTTTTTTTTTTTTTTTCCTTAGGTGTGATTAATCTTTCCAAGTATTACATAAAGTTGAACGCTGAAACTCAACCCATCCAGAATGTTGTTTAAATAATTTGAATTGCTATATATATCTGCCAGCATAAAAACCAGATGGTCAATGAGGAGCTCTGGAATGAAGCACGAACATATGAAGATATCCAGCTGATGCCATTTGTTGATTACTATAGCCTTATAACATGGAAGACCATAGCCATCTGCATATTTGGGGTAAAGAAGCTTGTCCCTTCATTACTGATGATTATTCTCATGTGCCACCATAATTGCCCTCATATCTTCAACAGACAGAAGCAGTTTCAGCAAAGTTCGTTATGAAGACAGACGATGATGCATTTGTTCGCGTTGATGAAGTCTTGGCTTCTTTAGATAGGATAAATGTGAATCGTGGTCTGCTATACGGTCTCATAAATTCAGATTCACGCCCTCACCGAAATACAGATAGCAAGTGGTATATTAGTCCCGAGGTAACTGTTCTCTTGATTCTCTATTAGTTCATGATCTGTTTATATTAATTTTTATCATTTTAAGCTTCAACTTACTTTTAAAATTGAACGAAATTAAAACAATTAATAATTACTATATAACTTCTATGCCCTATTATATTAAGCCCTGTTTGATGGCCATTATTGAGAAAAAATTAATGTTTTGACTAGTGATTTTTTTTGGAGAATATGTGGTTAAAAAACATGAAGTTTACGTGCAAAATATTTTATTGTGTGAATGTGTGATTGAAAATGAGTATGATAATTAAATTATTAAGCCTAAAAATAACATAATTCAATTATTGCTGCAATTGAAATTTTTTCCTTGTGTTTGTGAATCTTTGTTTTCTGGAAATTTATGTATTAATTATAAATTTTTTGAATTGATAGAAAAACAATTGCAATACAAAAACGGAAATACTCTGTATCAAATTCTATTTAACTACTTTAAATTTATATTAGGGAATTATAAATTAGTCCAGTCATGGAAAAATGCCTCCCAAATTGGATATATTTTTTAAAAAGTCGGATTTAGTGGTAGTTAATTCTCCCCCGTGTTTCATTTCTCTGCTTCTTTTTGGGTGGCATTATACTTCATATCATGTAAAATCACTTCTCGAACTTTAATCTCATTTTCATCTCATCTAA